AAAAAAAAAAAAAAAAAAAGGGCAACTTTGTATTACATAGCATATATTAGGTAAAAACAACACAACATATTAAAGAAAAACACAAATTTATAAAGCACTACAGTACAAAGTTTATTGAAAGAAAAGAACTCTCTTAATGTTTTCTGATTCAGGCAGACACACAAAAATAATGTATCCTGTAACACATAAAATCAACTTTCTGGCAACAGAAAATTAAAGTTCTGTGCTTCAGATATAGTGTTAAAACTGGAAAATAGGTAAATCTATATACTCACGCCTCAGTCTGCCTGTGTTGCTGTTCCTGAAGACAAGCTAGATCTATCATATGTCTAATTTGTGCTTTCAAATCTTTGTTCTGGAGATGCAAATGGTGACAATGAAGATCTTTCTTGAGTTCCTAGGGCAAATAATACAAAATGTACTTCAGATTGCTCTAAGAATATTAAAATTAAATCAGCTTTAATAAAACTCATTTTATATTGTTGCCATTAGTTTTAATTCTTTTTAGATATTAAATGTTTAGAAACAATTTGAAAATGAGTTCTGGGTAGGTGGTCTATAATTTATAAGCAAGATGAATTTTCATGTTTTCTCAGAAATTGAATATTAGGAATTCAGAAGAAATTTTAGTGTCGTGACAGCTTCTTGGTCTATCCAATTTGTTCACAATGTTGCAAAAATACATAAAAATGACCAGTTTTTGCTTAAATGTCATTTCCTTAGAAAGGTTTTCCTTGAGCATTATATTTAGATGGACACTCTTTACCCCTCAATATTGTTATAGCATTGATTGCATTGATCAGTAGCAATTGCATTGATATATTCATTTGTTTATAGTTTCTCTGTTCATACCAGAACATACAGCTTACCACCAGGACAGGAACTATGCCAGGTTAGTTCAGTGTTAAAGCCCCAGTGTACAGAGTCTGAAGTTGTGTGCAATAAAAATTTCTTTTTTTGCAGGAAAAAAAGATGATATGGTTGATATCATCTTTGGTTGGATGATATGGTTAGAGCACTGGCCTATGAGTCATGTGATTTTAGAGATGGGCTTTTAAGGCCTTGAAACAAATGTTACCATAAGTTGAATATACAGCCTTTATGGAGATCAGTTTACTTGACTAAAATTTAAGAGCTGGGTCAGATTATCTCTTCAGTCCTTTCCAGTTAGAAAATTAAATGATCATAATAGTGTAAATATGTTTGCCAAGTATTCCAACTGTTTTCCTTTAAAAGAAAAATATGCTGGCTGGGAATGGTGGCTCACACCTATAATCCCAGCGCTTTAGAGGCCATGGTGGGTAGATCACAAGGTCTGAAATTCAAGACCAGCCTGGCCAAGATGGTAAAACCCTGTCTCTACTAAAAATACAAAAATTAGCCGGGCATGGTGGCAGGCGCCTGTAATCCCAGCTACTCGGGAAGCTGAGGAAGGAGAATTGCTTGAACCCGGGCAGCAGAGGTTGCAGTGAGCTGAGATCATGCCACTGCACTCCAGCCTGGGTGATAGAGTGAGACTCCGTCTCCAAAAAAAAAAAAAAAAAAAAAAATCCTTTATACACATCCTCTCATAATCTTCTTTATCTTCTCGAATCTTTCTTCTTTTAAAGAGACAACACTTGACGCCCATTCTTGATATAAGCTTCATCTTAGGCAAAAGTGTGAAAATGTGTTTTGCAGGCTCCATTTTCCTAAACCTCAACTGCCCAGGGCCAGGTGTCCTCTAATCTACCACCTGAAGTTGCTTGTATTTCCTTAAGCCTACTAACCTTATCTACAGAAAATATCAGCAAAGGGATTACAACAAAATATGAATGGTGATAACCTAGTAACAGCCTCAGAAACTTTATTGAAACAATTTCAGTCAATAAAATTAAAAAAAAAATGCAATTCTTTGGACATTTTGAATGGCTAAGACAGGAACCCTATGTGCAGGGGAGCTATGTCTGGAAACTTCCTCCTAGGGACAATTCTTATAATCCATCTTAGCTTTAGCTAGTGAAAACAATGCAAAATATTCTTCAGATTCTTTTAAAGAATATTAAGATTAAATCAATTTTAATAAAACTCCTTTCCAATCTGCAGTTGACCAATGATTTTCTAAAATGTCAAAGTTTTTTTTTTCCTTTTAAAAAAATACTTCCAAAGCCAGTTATTAAGACTATGACAGAGAACCATGTCACCCATCCTATTTGTCTGGATATATTAAAATTAGGAATTATTTATATAATTCAATATACTTCAAGAAATACAGTAAATGTTTTAGAAAAAAATTATCTTTACGGAGTCAAGATGGTATGGCTAGAGTTATGTGATTTTAGAGATGGCCTTAGCCTTGAAACAAATGTCACCATAAGCCAAATATATGCCCTTTATGGAGATCAGTTTACTAGAGTAAAATTTAAGAGCTTGATCAGGTGATCTCTTCAGTTCTTCCTATTAATAGTTAGAAAACTGAATGATCATAATAGTGTGAACAAGTTTGCCACATATTGCATCTTTTTTCCTTGAAAAAAATCCCTCCTTTATATATATATTCTCTGATAATCTTATTCCTTTATCTTCTTGAGTCATTCTTTTAAAGAGACAAGACTTGATTGTATAATTATATTAGTCAATAATGGGTCTTTGGCTAGCCTTTTAACTTTGAAAAACCAAGTTTATAATTTGAGTCTTTTCTTGACATACTAATGACTAAATCGGATTGGAAGAATGTGATTTATTTTGAGAACTATAAGTAGGCTAGTAATGGCTAAAGTATAGAGTATAATGAAAGGGGATATATAAACCCTAAGAAGTATTAGGTGCCAGACCATGCTAGGCCTAGTAAATCACAACGGAGAATTCATTCTAGAAAGAAGGCAGTAAAGAACAATATAATCAGTTTTACCTTTTAAAAACTTGCTTTGGTTTCAGTGGAGATAATGAATTGCAGTAGAACATGAACGAAAGCAGAAAGACCAAATGAAGCAATCCAACAATGAGGTATAGGAGTCTGAATTAGGATAGTAGTAGAGGGGCGTAATCAGAAGTGGATAGATTCAGAATATCAATGAGTAAGTAATGAAGGAGACTATAGAGAAAACAGCACCAATTTGTAAGTCAGAAGTTCTGAGTCTTTGTCCAGAGTTGTGTGACCTTGGATAAGTCCCTTTATCAAGTTATGCCTCAATTTGCTGATGTAAAAAATAATGGCTTATAACTAGATTCACATTCAGGTATATAAAAGTTCTTCATAAGAGAATTCTAGAAGACAGACTGCTAAAAAAAATTAGATTTGACCATACTGAAAAAGGTTAAATTTATTGAAAATAATGCAGATAATATTAACTTCATAAACACTACTAAGTAGACAAAAAAGCAAACACAATATAGCAATAATAATGATATCAGAAACAATATACTATTTTTAAAATTGGAAGCTTACAGTAATGTGGGATAGAAAAGGTAAACTAGTAAATTTCTACAGTTGACTTTTTTGCCTCCTTAATACTTCATAAGTTCTTAAGTACTTCTGTAGTTAGAATGTTGATTACATGAAAAAACATATAATAAAAGCATAATGTAAATTACGTTAGGATCTTGGGAGGTGAAAATACTCTAGCAGTATCATCTAAAACTATATACACATACATATTTAAAATTTTTAATGAATATACTTAATGCCACTGAACCGTATATCTAAACATGGTTAAGATGGTAAATGTTATATTTTTATTACACACAAAATTTGTTTCAGACTTTTTTCAGAAAACTTTTTCTCACTAGAAGGGCTAAATAATCTGAGACTATCATAGCCGTAAGTAACAAAAAAAATTGAAGAACCTTCAGTAGTTATTTTTAAATAAGGTCAAAGTTTAACACTAACCAAAGACTTAAGAGTTTTATGTAGTTTAGAAAATCATAATCTTGAGAATATGACTGCTTTAGATAAAACAGTCTCCAAATAAACAATTAAATAATAAGTGGAATAAACCAAAAGTACTGTCAACATTCCACACCTGTTACCAATCCAGGAGAATCAACTCTTGTGCTTTAAATGAGAAACATTCATTTGGTCAAGGTTATCAGCTGTTCTCTTTGAAACAATTTTACCAACAACATAACCACATTTCAGTATTCCTACAGATATTGTAATAGAGACTGCTGCATTCTATGATAAGCCTCTATGGCTTTATATGGAATTTCAGAAGTTACCTCCTCTGATTCTAGCCAACCCATATTACAGTTTATTAATGAATTTTGTCTTTTTTTGCTTATTGTTTTGAGTCATTATATATCATCTTAAGACGGATATAACATTTTCTAAAAAGTGTGCTATATTTTCCTTCTTAAGTAGATATTCTTAATCTTGTGTCAATGGAAGGGCTTCAGAAAACCCAAATGACTTAGAAAAACACAAAATTGTATGAATGTGACCTCCCCAATCTCCTATCTGGGAGAAAATCTACATAGCTGTGATCAGATTCTCAAAAACATCTATGACCTCCAAAAAGGTCAGTATCACTATTCTGGAAGAGAAATTCAAAATGTATTATATGATGGGGTTAGCTCTGTTGTTAACTGTGTACTCTCATTCTTTGTACAACTTGCTTGGCTATTGATGTCTCTCTTATTGTTGCTTAGAAAATTATTAAACTATTATTTATCATTCATTTTCTTTTAAGTGTTGCTCGGCTTTGAATATAGCACTCCACTTAAGCTCATAATGTCTTAAATACATTTATAGATGACAAATTAAGACATTAATGTTAAATGCACTGTCCAAAGTCGTATAATTAGTGTTAGAGTTGGATGATATTCAAAACAAGTAGTAAATACCAAAATTACCAAATACTCCAACTTCAAAGTCTATCCTCTTTATGATGTTTACATTCTTTTGCAGGGAATATTTTAAAGTGCCTTACAGACTAAGTTATGTTATTGCAAAATGTGCTATATACTAGTATGCATATATGGTATATATGCATAGTAGTAGTACTATATCCCTACTCAGAATATACCAATATACACTACTATATGTATATATATATATATAGTATATATATGCATATAGTATATATATGCATATAGTATATGCATATATGCATACTAGTATATAGCACATTTTGCAATAACATAACTTAGTCTGTAAGGCACTTTAAAATATTCCCTACAAAAGAATGTAAACATCGTACTAGTATATACTAGAATATATATGTATATGCTAGTATATATAGATAATATATAGTATATATATACTATATATATAGTATATATATGTATGTATATATGTATATATGTGTGTGTATATATATGTATGTGTGTGTATATATATACACACATATATGTATAGTATATATACTAGTATATACTATATATATACTAGTATGTAATATATAGTATATAATGTATATACGTGTATATATATGTGTGTTATATATACACACATATACATATATACACACATATATATTATATATATACATGTTAATATATATAATATATACTAGTATATATACTGTACATATAGGTACACATACACATATATACACACATACACATATATATATACACTAGTATATACTAGAATGTGCTGTATACTATATTTAATGTCCTAATCTTAACTAACTGGCTGGTATGCTTTTATCAAAATATTATCAAAATATTCTGAGGTTAGAATAAATTGTTGGCTCAAAAAAGCTCCATACTAAGGAACTGTTGTCTTTGGCTTCCTTCTTAGGAAACAGGATATCTGCTGCTTGCTCCTTTCACTACGTTGAAGTGCCATCATTAACTACTACTGCTAGTGTTTTCTATCCAGTCATGCCTGAGCTTTCATGTCAAAAGAATAATCATTTACGGCCATTGCTGGCCCACCAGAGAATCCATTCCCTAGCCATAAGGCATTAACTAATCTCTCTGAAATATAAAAACAATTAGTATATTTGAATACTAAAGATCACTGGCATTTGTTGGTAAATATTTTTTATTTATTTTTACCTGTATTTTCTGTCTGATGCCTTTCTAAGAATTCAAAGGTTTTAGAAGTTTCCATATCAATTATCTGATACACAGTTACAGAATTTCAGAAGAGCATCACCAAAGTAGAGACTTTAGCTATTCTACCTTTTAGAAAAAGACTGAAAAGAAGTTTCCTTTTAAAGTATTAAGTATCTGGGTGAAAATTAGTTACTTCATAGCAGTTGCTCCTAGTTGCTTAGCCTATATTCACTTTCTTCTTCTTTCTTATTAGGAGCTCCAATCCCATTACTAGGTATATACCTAAAGGATTATAAATCATTCTACTATAAAGACAAATGCACACACGTTTACCGCAGCACTATTTACAATAGCAAAGACTTGGAACCAACCCAAATGCCCATTAATGATAGACTGGATAAAGAAAACGTGGCACATATACACCATGCAATACTATGCAGCCATAAAAAAGGAGAGTTCATGTCCTTTGCAGGGACATGGATGAAGTTGGAAAGCCATCATTCTTAGCAAACTAACACAGGAATAGAAAACTAAACACTGAATGTCCTCACTCATAAGTGGGAGTTGAACAATGAGAACACATGGACACAGGGAGAGGAACATCACACACTGGGGCCTGTCAGGGGTCGGAGGCAAGGGGAGGGACAGCATTATGACAAATACCTAATGCGTATGGGGCTTAAAACCTAGATGATGGGTTGATAGGTGCAGCAAACCACCATGGCACATGTATACCTATGTAACATAACCTGCACATTCTGCATATGCATCCCAGAACTTAAAGTAAAAAAGAAAAAAAAAAAAAAAAGAGAGAGAGAAAGAGCACTCCAATATTGTTCAGAGTAATTATGCAAAGAAAAGGGAGGTCATCTTTTAAGAGTCTCTTCTATCTACAGATAGCCCTGTGACCTATTTCTAGCCAACACATTAGTCTGTTAGGAATTTTTTGAAACATCTTTGGTCTCCTGATATAGACATCTCTCCTCCTTTCTTTCCTCTTCTTCTGGCTTAGGTGTGTAAACTTAAGACTAGATATGAAATAGTAACACTACAATCATGAAATGACAAGCACAATAATGACATATAAAAGATACTGCATTAGGAATGAACTGCATACTTTCAAACTTATTGTTAAGAGAACAAAAGACAGCCGAAACTAGCTAAGGCACTAAAGTTAGACTACTGTAACCTTGTAACAGAATACAATTCTAATGTGATGCTGTCATTATCCATCACTACACTTTAAAAATAAAACTTTTTGCCATTCTAAGGTGCAATATCTTCAGTTACACACACACACACACACACCCTTTCAAATCAACTTTCTTTAGTCATAATACACAAATGTTGACCTTATTTAAACTATTTTTGCATTACATAGCAAGATTTCAAACAAATTACGTATCTAATGAATTCTCAAGTACAGTTTAAAATAGAATTATTTAGTTTAACTTAAAAGCTACCATATAAAAGGATGCAATCACTTAGAAATAACAATGTTTAAAAATAAATTAAATCTCAGAGATGGGCAATAATAGTCTTATGAAAGATATTTACTCAATAGGAAAGAACACATTTTAGGAGCTCAGTTCTTATGACTTAAATCTGAACACACAGAGATATTTGTACCTTTGAAATATGACCGTTTGGACCTAAGTGTCCCATTTCTTTTTCAACACGATGGAGCCAATTAGTATTCTCATTAAATTGCTTCAATTCCTCCTCCCTCCTTTTCTCCAGGTAGCAGCGACGAGTTTTCAACATTGCAAGTCTATGATCTCGTTTTCCAGTGGCCTGAAACATGATTCATTTAACAGTTAATCTAATTTTTATAATATTTGATGTACGTAATATTAGTAAACTGGTATTTTCTTACGAAAACTATTGTAGTAAATTGTTAGGCTATATTTTTGTATTTAAAGCTATTTCCCTGTTGAAATCTCAGAATACTACTGCTTGCAGGAAAATAGGAAATTGAGTTGTGAGTCATTTTTATAAAATTACAGGTTGAGAGTTTATGGCTTTAAGACATACACTGACCAAATCAAAGACTACAACTTTTTTTTTTTTGTCATTAAAGTACAGCCCCTGCAGTATGTTTCGTCTGAAAAGTTCATACAAGGTCAGATACATTCCATGATTTCCCTACTCAAAATCAAAGCAGATACATATCTTGCTCTTGTCTTTGATGTGAAGAAATAAAGTGTTGTATTGCTCTGTGTTTGCCTATAAGGCCTCAAATTGGCTAATATAAATGAAAGGAAAAAGAGCTTATATCAGAGTGCTTATCAGTATCTGATCTTGCCTGTAGGTTAGTTCAGGACCCATAATGAATATTCTAAATATTTCTGGTGTTTTACCTAGGCATAAATTGTGATTAAAACTAATCTTTGATTTCTTACCCTAAGGGTCTTGCACACTATTATGAAAACCATGAACTAGAACATCTTGACCTCTCTGGGGGTATTTGCCCATAGATACTAAAGTCAATAATTATCAGATAGGATGGGTAGATCTGAACCAATGGATCCCAAAAGAAAAGGTTAGAATAAGCACTTGCAGCTGGTTCTGGGAGCAGGAAATGAAAAAAAAGGAACAGAAACTAGATTTGAATTTGGTTGAAGAACTCACCCTCTTTGGGAGATAAATATTTCTTAACTTTTACAAAAGCTATACTATTGAGACTTCGGCATATAAAAGAAAAATATGATTATCTTCATTTGGATAGAGGATATGAGCTTATAAATGATTTAAGGTCAGGCACAGGTGGCTACCTCGAAGTCACAACTAAATCCTAGATATTCATAAAATTTTACTTCCCTTCCCTTCAAGGGAAAGGCAAGAGTCAGAGAGAAGCAGATTCCATTTCAGGCTAGAGTCATAGATCAGGGAAAAATAGTTGACAGGCACAGTCATTCTCACCAAGGTTTCTAACTCTTTTTTAAGGCTTCTCTGGTTAATTATAATATCAGAATCTCTCTTTGTCAAGGTAAGACAATAACGAAAACTAAATAAGCCTCTCAAAGAAACAAAAACCTGGATAGTCAAGAAGAGAAAACAAAACAAAACGTAACCCATCAAATTGACCACAGCACTAGGGAGAGAACTGTGACAGAATGCTATAATGCAGGCTGGGCATGGTGGCTCATGGCAGTAATTCTAGCACTTTGGGAGCTGAGGTGGGAGGATTGCTTGAGCCCAGAAGTGCAAGACCACCCTGGACAACATAGAGAGACTGTGTCTCCACACAAAAATTAAAAAATCAATTTAGGCAGGTGTGGTGGCCTGTGCCTGTAGTCCTAACTACTTGTTGGGGTGGTAGGGCTGATGTGGGGGCATCACTTGAGTCCGAGAGGTTTGAGGCTGCAGTGCAGCGAACCATGATTGCATGATTGTGCTACTGCACTCTAGCCTGGGCAACAAAGTGAGACTCTATCAAAAAAACTAAAAAAAAGAATGCTATTATGCAAAGGTTACCTAGTGTGGTACAGGGACTCCTAAGGATTCCTGAGGTCCTTTCAGAGAATTCACAAGGTTAAAGCCATTAAAATCATTTTTAATGGTTTTCTAGAAGCTAAATGATGTGTAACATTACAACAGAATAACAAACCAGCAGTTATGAGAATACAACTGATATGAAAAGCCAGGCATTAAAGAAATTTGCAAACATGTAAAACAATGCCACTCTTCTATTTTCACTATTTTTGTTTGAGAAAATAAATTTATCACACATAATTTTTAAAAATTATTTTAATTATGTTATTTAATATTATTTGTCAATTATTTTAAAATGAATACATAAATATATTTTTGTAAATCTCAGTTTTAATTTCTAATATAGCAATATCGGTAGAGGGAATACATATAAACAAAAGCTCTTTGAAGTCCTAAATAATTTTTAAAAATGGAAAGAGGTCCTGAAACTTGAAGTTCAGAGCTGCTGCTATAACAGAAGGTGGGTGATGTGACCTACTGACGTTTTTCTGCTACTCAGCAGATGTAAAAATTTAGGCAAACTGATCTTAGTGGGTCTGTAATCACTTTATCTGAAAAATGAAGACAAAAATATTACACCTTTCTGAAGGTAGGCAGCTAATTAAATCATCTTTATTTTGCTTTAGTATTTACAATGGTAGGGACTCTTAGAAACCAGGGCATATGGGTCTGATGGCAGCAATATCTAATATCAGAAAATCCTAAGCAGAAACCTCAAAAAGTCTGTTTATGACTTTTTACTTCTAATGTCCATCAAATGTATCCTCTATGATGGTTCTCAGGGGACATTTTCCATCAGGGTACTCCTACTGAACCACTGTTCTAAAATGGCAAGTAAGTGTTTGGGAATACATTCTAAAATATGCATGTTAAACCCTGACATTAGAGTGAAATGTTTCCCATTAAGTTTTAAAAGAGCTTTACATATTTCATTAACAAAATCCCCTGCACACCACAAAAGTCTTACAAGAGAACAAACATATCTACAATTTTAGGTTTTACTACTGCTTTGTGTATAATAATTGCTAATACGGTAAACTCGTATTTTTACATTAAAAATAATTTTACAGATTATTTTTATGGGGCCATAAAATTACCCAGGAGCTTCCTTTTATTAGTAATTTCAAAGTCCATACTCCAGAACTATTTATAGCTGAATCAATGTTATGAGATTCTTTCATCACTTCTGATAACAAACCTCTTTTGGAGAGAATCCAAAACATATAAAATTCTTTGCCTTAGAAAAGCAGTTTACTCAGACTACAGTTTGACACTTCTGTGTAAAAACAAATCAACCTTTAGATATCTTACTATGTTTTTCAGTGGCTTAACTATAAACAATAACTTAAGAGCTTATAACTCCACTACTTATCTAGTCTCATAAGAATAGCTAAAATAATTGGAAACCTGAGGATCAAAATGACCACAAGTAAGAGATCAGGAAAGGCACTTTGGTTGAAAAAAGTCTAGGCTACTACACAGAAGAATAAAGATGAAAGAAAAACCAAAAAACCGAAAATAAAACCAGTCAAACCTATCCTGTTACTCTATGTCTTAATCTTTCTAAATAACCACATTCAAAATTCAATGAAGGAATTAAGAGAGTAAAAGAGCAATTATCTAAATTAGTTTGGATACATAGTCCAAGCTCATTAATTATACTAAATAATAATATTTGAATGCTTAAAAAATAGAACTCTAAGTTCTGGTAATGCCACTCCCTTGCTTGAAAGACAGCATTTTGGCCAAAAAAATAGATTTTACATTCCTAGCAACCAACAGTTCCACAATGTGTGGTACCAATATCTTATCTTTCCAGTCTATTGTTAATAATTCCTAATATGGCAAATATGTCTAACATCATGTGCCAGCTCCAGTCTATTCATTGTGGTTCTATTTTCGGATTTCAAAAGAAGGTATGGCCACGGATCAGTGGAATTTGCAGTGGGTAAGGAAGTAGAAATTGGCAGTAAGTTTTGAGTATAGTTATGCACTTCTATACATACTGTCCAACAAATGTGACCTGCTCTGGTCAAACTGATACCTAATCTACAATATACTGGTCCTATTTGTTTCTCTCCCATTGGTATTCATATGCAAGGCCCAGTACAAATCTCATCTTTCCACCAGAAAGTTTTCTTAAAAACACGGTAAGAAGTCACTGTTTTCTTTTCTTAATAGCTATAGCATTTATAGTACTTAGAGTATAGCAGAGTGATTAAGCAGGCTCTGAAACCACAAAGGTGTGGTTTAATATTGGTTCAGCCACATTAATGAGTAAGTAACTCCAGACAACCTACTTGAGTTCTCAGTGCCTCCATTCCTCACAAATGATAATATTAGATCTATCTCAATAAGTTTGTTATAAATATTAAATGAATTAATCCATGCAAAGAACTTTGAAAAATGTCTGGCAAATAGTATTCAATAATATCAGCTGTTTTTATTATTACTATTTACATGACAATCATATAGTACCTTGTCATTTTTATTATTTTTATTGCTTCAACTAGCATGTAAATAATTGAAGGGCAAACACTTTTCTTTACCTCCATTGTGTCAAGCACAAGGTTTTACAGATGAACAAGTGTTCAATAAGAGTTTCGTTAACAGTTGAGATGTGAAGTCAGTATCAGTTTCCTACGACTACATTTCTTGCCTTTTGTCAAAAAGTAAATCAGATAATTGCACATTCAAATAATTGACACTTATTTAATGGACATCTACACAAAACTGAGAATTATTACACACTGAAGATTACTATGTAATATAAGAAATACTGATAACTGAAATAAACTGGGCATGGTGGTGTACACCTGTAGTCTCAGCTACTTGGGAGTCTTAAGTGGTAGGAGGATTGTGTGAGCCATGGAGTGAGACTTCATCTCCAAAAATAAAATAAAATACTCATAAAAAATAATAAAAAGAAAAATATCGTAAAAATTTGATAAAATATATAACATGATACTATTTCAGAAATCTATTTAGCAACCATATGAAAAGAGTTCATGACAACAAACCGATAAATTAATCCAATGATATATTGTTATTTGGAAATCATTACATTTATCAGAGAATACTGGCAACAATTTGAAGTTCATGAAAGTGAAAGTACAAATATAGCAGCAAGATATAAATTCGAAGATATAAAATCAATTTCTTTTCTGCTTTAGAAGAATGTGAGGAACATCTTAAATGCATCTCAAAAAACAAAATTGAAAAGAGAATTTCAGTAAGGCATAAAAAGCACATAGTCAATAAATATACTACTAATTTTGATAATATAGTTTAATAGCTACTGACAAAGTGGTATCAATGATACATTACTGAATGCTTTATGATTAATTTCCAGTATAGCGTATCTTTCCCATTTCATAGGTTAACAGAAAACTAAAGTCTAGTTTTGAAAAGCATTTTTTAAAATTTGACAGCTTCTGGACATTAAGAAATTCAAAATTTTTCTATGTAATGATTACTTCTGTGAAAGTAGGAAAAAAAGAAAACATGTTTGGGGTGGTAGTTTGAGAGGACTAGGTCGTTATTTATAAGATAAAGCCTTTTAATTAATAAGTAGTATATAAATATCATATGTCTATGTAATTAAATTACATAAAAATACAAATTAATCAATTAATATCAAAACTGGGGAGAATAATTGTCACTATTTTCAAAATATTTATTTTTCTGATCTTTGGTGCTCTGTAGTTTCATATGTTTAGGTATATATTTTATACTGCTTAGAGCTCATGCTTTTTGAATTTACATCTTATTAGTTCTAGCTAATTCTCAACCATAAATTTTTACATATTTCTTTATCACTAAATATTTCCTTCTGAGATGTCTATTAGATGAATGTATGACTATTCTTCTTGTTACATGTTGTAATCCTTCATATAACACCATCTTGTCCACATGTGTTATCTTTATCCTCATTTGGTATAATTTTCTCAAATCTGTCTCCCAGTTCATGTAAAAAAGCATAGACATAAGAGCACAGGCTCTAGAATCAGCATGCAACAGAACAAATCAGAACTCAGCACCTATGAGCTGTGTCACCTTGGACAAAATGACTTGTGTTTTGGTTTCCTCATTATGATTATTAGGATAATATTACTAAATATTTCATGGGGTTTTCTGAGAATTAGAAAAGTTGATATATGTAAAGTGCTTTAACATTTTCTGGTATTGTATCAATAAAGTGAGTTTTTAATTTTAATGAATAAATCTTTAATTTCTGGAACTTTCAGGTGTTTTTTACCTCATATTTGGATGTCTTTTTTTGTAGTGTCCTGTAATTTTGGATGGTGAGTTCATTAGTGGCTAGAGTTGAGAATCTATTGCTCCTAAGAGGCTGATTTTTCCATTGCTTCTGCCAGGTTTTCTAGTGGTATCATTAGTTTGATAACATTGTGCATATTAATTTACCAACTTTAGGGGTTTTCTAGACAAAATACATGAGTTATAATAATTTAAACCTCAATCATTGTAAAAAGCACGCCTGTAATGGTAGTGTTCAAATGACTTTCTTTTTCTTACCCCAAGCATGGTCACTTGGGATAAGAAAAGCAACCATCCTTGCCAACTGTGATGGTTGGCAAGATTTTTTTTTTCCTGGTGTACCCCTAGTATAAAGGATATAGATCTCTGAAATTTCAGGCTTTATATAGGAGCTCTCATTTCTAACTCACTGTCTCCTTTGGGTCTCTTCCCTAAGTAGTGATGTACATCAAAGGTAGAATAGTGGGAGGAGCCTGTGTATGGTGGGGAGAAGGCAGTATACTACCATATTTAAAAAAAAAAAGTAAACTGACTGTTTGGTGTGCTTTTAATTAGGCCCCTGCACTCACACATCTAACAATTTCAGTGATAAAATTTTCTGACAACAAAAATCTGTTGGTCTAAGTTGTAAGCTACTGCCTGCATCTGGATAGACTGCTTCTATTGCTCTACCTTTAGTAACTGGCTGTCCCTGAGTGGGTAAACTTCATATTAAAAGTTCCATAAAATGCCCAGAAAAACAACAGTTGTACATGAGATTCTGTTGTTTTTGTTTGTTTCCTTTTTGTTACTGACATTAGGGAATTAAAATTTCTTTCTTGAAGGCTGGATGCGGTGGCTCACGCCTGTAATCCCTGCACTTTGGGAAGCTGAGGCAGGCAGATCACTTGAGGTCAGGAGTTTGAGACAAACCTGACCAACAAGGAGAAACCTCGTCTTTTTTTCTTTTCTTTTTTTTTTTTTTGAGACGGAGTTTTTCTCTTATTATCCGGGCTGGAGTGCAAAGGCGCAATCTTGGCTCACTGCAACTTCCGCCTTCACCATGTTGACCAGGATGGTCTCCATCTCTTGACCTAGTGATCCACCCACCTCGGCCTCCCAAAATGCTGGGATTATAGACGTGAGCCACTGCGCCCAGCCCAGAAACCTTGTCTTTACTAAAAATACAAAATTAGCCGGGGTAGTGGCGTATGCCTGTACTCTTCAGCTATTCTCCAGAGGCTGAGGCAGGGGAATTGCTTGAACCCTGGAGGTGGAGGTTGCAGTGAGCCACGATAGTGCCCCTGCACTACAGAATGGGAGAGAGAGCAAAACTCTGTTTCAGGAAAAAAAAAAATATCTTTCTTGAACACTTAACTATGCATTTAAAAAAATGCTTGCTATATTTCCTCCAACATTTCCAGATGTTTGTGGAGAATGGGTAAGTAGCCTTGACTATCAAATTTCTAGAGTTAGACACACCTCCACCTCACCTTCCACCACCACCAGGACTGGCACAGTGGCTCATGCCTGTAATCCCAGCACTTTGGGAGGCCGAGTGTGGATCACCTGAGGTCAGGAGTTCAAGACCAGCCTGGCCAACATGGCGAAACTCCACCTGTACTAAAAATACAAAACATTTAGTAGAGATGGTGAAACCCCTCTACTAAATTGCACGCCTGTAATTCCAGCTACTTGGGATGCTGAGGCAGGAGAATTGCTTGAATCTGGGAGGCAGAGGTTGCAGTGAGCTGAGGTCACACTCCAGCCTGGGCAACAGAGTGAGACTCCGTCTGGAAAAAAAAAAAAAAAAAAAAGGAAGCTCCTGTTTTTACACTTTTTAAAATTTATAATTGCTAATTACCTTTTCTACTTTATCTTCAGAACACATCATTTCTATTTGTTTATGGCACTGTTGTTGGTAGAATGATTTAAGTTCATTTTCTTTAAGTAACATTTCCAGCTTCAGATATTCTTGTCTAATTTCTTCTCGATTCTGGAACAAGCAGTTGAGGATTTCTTGAAACCTACCAAAATTAAAACATGATAGAATCTCACTAAAATTATAATAAGCCATACAAAGTTTATTTAAAGGAAATGCATAAACAAAGGAATATATGTAATTCACAAAACTACACTCAATGATAAACAGCAAACAGGTAAAAATGACTGTATCCTATTACAAAAAATGTTCAGAAAAAGTTATTAACTTTACTTCTACTACATTAGGTTTTTCTCTTTCTCACCCAAGGAAAATCATGTTACTGAAAGATATGGGTATCATAAGGTGTTGGTATTGCTAACATACTGTGTTTTGTCTATGCTTACACCTATACATAATCCAATTGCTTAGCAAAAACAAAATAATTTTTGTTTGTTGGAAAAGGATGATAATCCAGGCATGCACAATCCGAATTCAAAAAGCCCTATTAGCAACACAGCATTATGTGTTGTTTTGGTGTTGGCTCACTGTGAAGGAATAAGCAGTAGGAGGCATAATCATATGGTGCCTCCATGGCCCCCTAGGGAAAGTGACAGAGCCAGTTTTTAGCTTCAGAATTTGTTATAGTGAAAACAGACCATACGGTTAGGTACCCCCTACAGCCTGGCTAAGAATCAGCTGACACTGCTAGGACTCAAAACATCCAAGTTTATAATGTGGTAAACCTAGAAAAGCTGTTGCAGTGTGTTTCCTCTTAAGGGCAATATACGTCTAGAATATCAAAGTTGATTTTGATTCAGATTTCCAAATGCCCACAGACTTCAAACTGATTAAATTTTATGAAAACTCTAGCTGGATGCTACAATCCTGCATCCTCTTGGGTCAGTAGAACACTGGTCACACCAATATTTTAATTTTTTAAAAACATATTTGTGCTTTTACAACTCCAAGCTACAGTAACAGTATAAACATTCATATCAAGCAAAAACCTCAAAAAAATTAACTGTGAAGAATTTAAAATAAAGTAAAAGAAAGTATATACATTTAAAAATAAATGTTCTAAACTGGCCAGAATTTTAGATATACTTATAAGGATTGGCAGTAATGCCAATTTACGTCAGTAGTTCTTAATGAAACTCTATTGGGAATGAATATAAGCCGCAAAACACTGACTTTACTGCAGTTTTGTCAAGCTGATAAATATTTCATAGGAAATATGTACAGACATTGTTATTTCATTGTATTATATTACACCAACAGTAATGCCAGTAAATGAATTGATGTTATCTTTAGATTATATCTAAAGATAATTTCTTAGTTTTTCTATAACTTTTTATTCAAGGACAAAGTTAAATATTTGTCAATTTTGTGATCTAGACTTATTTTAGTTGTTGGTGTTCACTGATTAGGATGGAAGGAAGGGAATTGTTATCGAAGGTTTCTAGAGAGCAGATTAACAACAACAAAAAAACCCTATCATTTTAAAACTGAAAGAGTTCTAAGCAAACATTCAATATCTGCACCAATATTTTTAGGTAATACATTATGAGTATTAAACTCCACAATTTTCTTGGCATAGTCATAAGTAAAATTGTATATATATCTACTCTTTATAAAAGAACAATTGTTTTTTTTTATGATTCCCTTTTGAGAATTATCTTTCCAAATAGCTTTGACAGACAGAAAATGCTGTAGATTCTTCCTTTTGTCTATTTAAACTTCATAAAAATGTTATTTAAGTTTTTTATAACAAAAGACACCATGAAAATTCATGGCATTGAAAAAGTACCATGTAACAATATGATTGATACAATAAAAGATATTTCACACATTTATTTCAAAAGACAGTTATTTTTAGGGAAAATGACAAAGGTTATTGAGTACATAATTTTATCATTACCTTCTTCATAAAGACAAGTAAGTTATTTAACACATGGCCAGAATTAAAATCAAAGTTTTTATTGTTGGTCAAAAGTCAGGTTGAAATATAAAAAACATCTAAATACATGCTTATTTCACAGCTCAGGCCCTTCCCTCCTGAAAGGAGGGCCTTACCAGAAAGAAAGGTTCAATGACTTAAAGCCATCAACTCAAGAAATGTTTACTAATCTATAAGGTTTTAATTGGTATAGTAGACTTGGTTAAGTACTACTGAGGAATTCTATGGAATCAATTACTCCAAATTTGAGAAGCTGGTGAATTCTAATACTTATCTGGTTACATGAGGACCACTCCCATGTTTAACTAACAAAATGAAATAATAACAACTAATAATACCATATCAGACTTAAAAGTTTTCTTTGATGAGATGGAAAACCAGAAATCATTTTTACTTATTTCTTCAATAATACTGTAAAATGGATAAGAAATAATAAAAAAGCATCAGAAGACTAATACACTATAACAATTTTACCTTAAAATAAATTGTTAGGGAAATTAACAGAAAATAACTTAAACATACTAGAAAATCTCCAACATAAAAAGAGCTCTTGCATTATAATTAGAGGTCAACCTTAAGCTATATGAAAACTGATTGACTGAGGTTGATAGAAATATTTGTTGTTATTACGTCTTACAATGTTTGCAAAGTAGCATAATGTGGTAAAACAAGAATTAAGACATGAAAGATGTGACGGATTCTTGCCTTTATCTGAAAGTGAGAAAACAATACCTGCCTTAACACTATTTGAAAGAGTTGTATTGGTAAGATGAAATTAATATGGCTCTAAAAATAATTAAAAACTATACTATATATAAATAAACTACAAGTATTTTCTTAGCATGTGGGGTCAATTAAGGCAGAACAAATTATTATTTTTTTACAAGTTAGGAATATTTTATGTAAAACTTCAACACACAAATGCAATTTTAAAAAGTTACAGCTGAATCAGGTGTGAAAGTCACTTTTGACTATAATCTTGTTTTCCTTATAGATACTGAGATACTTTTTACAAATTCTAGAGCTCCAAACAGTGTGAATAACCACAGGTTTAAGGTGTAGTTGGTTTCTCATACTGATAACAGATAATTGGCTCCAAAGAATGTCAAATAAGTTTAACTTTACTCAACTTTAATCAGACTTGAACAGATTCCTTTACTACACGTTTTCTCAAAGCCTGGATTCCTTAAGGAGTAATTTCCAAACTTGTTTAATATAGCAATTCCTTACTGTCTTTCTAGAGGTACTCAAGATTAACATCTTGATCCAGTGTCTCAATGGGCCAATTTAGACAACTGTCTTATCTGCTTGAGGAAAAAGACTTTTGCATACTATATTATTAACTGCTTTCTTTTTAAAAATTTACTAAGAAGCTTAGAAGGAACCTATCAAAATTTTGTATCAGAAGGGCAGATCCAAGATGGCCAAATAGGAACAACTCTGGAGTGCAGTTCCCAGCGAGAACAACACAGAGGGTGAGTGATCACTGCATTTCCAAATGAGTTTTTACTGCCCACAGACCAGGAGATTCCCAGGCTGAAAAGTGCCATGAGTTTCCAGCACAGCTGTTAAAGCTGGTGCAGCAGGCTTCCGCAAAGAAACACACAAATCTGGGTGGCCATTTCAACTGGCGCCTGGAATGCCTGGGATACAGAGCTGCTCATTTATCTGAAAAAAATGGGGCTGAAACAGGGAGCCAGATGATCTGGCTTGGAGGCTCCCATCCCCACAAAGACCAGTAATCTGAAACGGTCTGGATTGAGAGTTTTGCAGCAAGCGCAGCTGGACCCTGGACAGTCCAGCTCTGTTGGGGGAAGGGTGTCTGCCATTACCGAGGCAGTCCATCACTACTGAGGCAGTCCGCCATTACCGAGGCAGACTGCCATTACTGAGGCAGTTCTAACTATACCTCTGTGAACAAAACCACAGGAAATTTCATACAGCAGCTGGGCGGAGCCCATGGCAGCTCAGCAATGGCTCTGCTGGCAGACTGTGACTATGCTACCTCCTTGCTGGGCAGGGCATCTCTGAAAAAAGGCAGAAGCACATCAAAAACTTATAAATAAAGCCCCACCTTCCCAAGGACAGAGCACCTGGGAAAAAAGGTAGTTATGAGTTCCGCTGCAGCAGCCTTAAACATACCTGCCCAGCAGCTCTGAATGGAACAATGGAGCTCCCAGCTCAGCACTTGAGCTCCTATAAGGGACAGACTGTCACCTCAAGCAGCTCCCTGACCCCCTTATATCCAAAGAGATACCACATAAAGGAGAGCTCAGGCTGACATCTGATGGGTATCCTTCTGGGACGAAGGTAACAGAAGAAGAAACCAGCAGCAAACCTTACTGTTCTGCAGCCACCGCAGGTGATCCCCAGGCAAGCAGGGTCTGGAGTGGACCTGCAGCAGAGGGCCCTGACTGTTAGAAGGAAAACTAAAAAACATAAAGAAATTCAACATCAACAAAAAGGACGTCCACTCAGAGACCCCATACAAAAGTCACCAACTACAAAGACCACAGGTAGATAAATCCACAAAGATGGAAAGAGACCAGCGCAAAAAGGATGAAAACACCCAAAACAAGAATGCCTCTCCTCCTCCATGAGATCACAACTCCTCACCAGGAAGGGAACAAAGCTGTATGGTGAATCAGTCTGATGAATTGACAGAAACAGGCTTCAGAAGGTGGGTAATAACAAACTTCTCTGAGCAGAAAGAACATATTCTAAGCCAATAAAAAGAAACTAAGACCTTGAAAAAAGGTTTGACGAAATGCTAACGAGAATAAACAGCTTAGAGAAGAATATAAATGACCTGAATGAGCTGAAAAACACAACATGAGAACTTCATGAAGCATACACAAGTTTCAATAGCCAAATCAATCAAGCAGAAGAAGGGATATCAGAGATTGAAGATCAACTCAATGAAATAAAATGAGAAGGCAAGATTAGAGAAAAGGAGTGAAAATAAATGAACAAAGCCTCCAAGAAATATGGGATTGTGTGAAAAGACCTAATCTACATTTGATAAGTGTACCTGAATGTGACAGACAGAATGAGTCTAAGCTAGAAAATAGTCTTCAGGACATTTTCCAGGAAAACATTCCCAAGCTAGCAAGGCAGGCCAACTTTCAAGTTTAGGAAATATGGAG